CCCATCCCATCCCATCCCATCCCATCCCATCCCATCCCATCCCATCCCATCCCATCCCATCCCTGCCCTGCCCACCCCCTGCCTCAGACCCTTACTTGATGTAGGTGAGGCCGTGGTTGCCCTTGAGGGCCGTGGCGATGCAGATGGCTCCGTCCATGCCCAGGGAGTTTTCCTGCAGGCTGTGGGAGGCAGGAGGGTCAGACAGCGCTGCCCAGGGAGATGTGGCCACCAGGAGGGGATGCAAGGACCAGACATGGGGAAAAGCCACCCACTCAGGGTTTTGCCCCTCTGAGAACCGCTGGCCTGGCCGTCCCATCGCTGTTCCCTAAGGGAGGGGCTGGACAGGCCGTTCCTGGCCCACCCTGGGACGGGRCACTCACCTGAGGTGGCGGAGGCTGCGGTTCACCCTCAGTGCACYGGCCATGGCCTTGGCTCCTGCCACACCGATGGCGTTACCCCGCAGGCTGCAAACAGAGGGGGAGCTGGGCAAGGACAGCCCGGGGCAGGAGCAGGGGGACAAGTGACCCCACACAAGGAGTCMAGGGACCCAGGACCTCAGACATCTCAGTGGCACTGCTGTGGGCATGTGGTAGCCCCACAGGGCACTTACTCCAGGATCTGCAGGCTCTGGTTGACCATCAAGGCTTCTGCCAGGGCCTGGGCACCGGCTGCGCCAACTGAAGCCACCTGCAGGCTGCGAGGGAACAGGGACCCTTCAGTACCCACCCTRAGGTGGTCTTGTGTGCTAATTAGGATAATTAGGCTGTGGCACCAGGACTGCTGCAGGCTGGRTACTCACTGGAGATCCACCAGAGTGGTGTTGACCTTCAGAGCAGCCGAGAGGGAGGCCATTCCCTCGTCTCCAATGGCGTTCTCCTGCAGGCTGGGACACAAGGGCTGGGTGTGCACGTGGCCTGGGCACCAGGAGCGGGGACAGGGCAACCAGCCCAGGGCACAGCATTCCCAAAGGGCTTGGGGGAGATCCTGAGTGGTGAGACACTCAGAGCATCCCCAGCCAGGGACATGCAGTGGGGACAGAGAAGATTTCCAGGGCCTAAAGGGG